CCCGGCCTATCCTGCCCAGCCCCCCACTGTCGGACGTACTTAAGTATAAGGGCGTGTGACAGTGAAACTAGCGGCCGGGCGAACTTAGGGCGCGGTCTTCGGTCTTCGGGTGGGCCGTTTAGGACGGGATATTCCCGACCTTGGGCCCAAACTGCAGTTCCCGACTCGTGGGCCTTGGAACCTTTCTTAGCCTTAGGCTTGCTTCAACTGCTGCTTGGCCGTCACGATCGGGGGTTTCCCGAGTGCCGGCCCGAACCGTGATTCCCGGCCTCCGGGCCTCGGAATACTTCTTCAGGCACTGTTTGGCCGCCTCGATCGGGGGATTCCCGAGTGTGGGCCTAAACACTTCACGAGGGCCCGCTGCTTGGGATGTTCCTGAGCATGGGACCTGTGGCACTCCCTTCCTATTTAGCCCCCACTGTGCGCGCTCGGGGTGCGAGTGAGTGCAGTACCGGAGAGGAGCGGGCGGATCGGGGAAGCACGCGATTATTCGATGCGCGTTCGGGCAAATCTGCCCGGGCATTACTTGGTAGTAGCCCAAGAATGCTGTGAGGAGGCTGGAAAAGGGGAATGTGATCGGGGCCATTAGCGAATCGTAATGCAGCCCGATCCATTTCCCTTGGTGCCGCTCGATGATATTTCCGAGCTGTCTGCTGGTATCGAACTCGACCCGACCAGCAAGAGTTGCCGCAATTTTGCTTGCTTCTCCTTTTGTCAGCAAGCTCTTCTGGCCTTCAACGCTCTCGCTATTGAGGAACTCAAACCCGTCCCCACGGACGGCGCCAAAATGATACTGCTAATTATACGTAAGCAATATGAAGTAACTCGAGACCAATTAAAGCAAGTAAATGTCTTTATTGATTGTCTTTATTGATCACGGTAAAGGCCCTAAGTACAATCTACTTGGTTGCTCTGAGTACCGACTGACTGCGGTCGGGATTCTCTAACAACAACCTATCGATCGTCCAAAAGTCCCTCACACTGTAGCTACTGTGGGTATTTATAGCCGCTATGCCGGGGACAGGATTCCAGCCGTTCGACATGTCCTCCACGTAGCCACCACGTGTCATCCTCCCGGGTGCCCTGCCTGTCGATGTAGAGAGCCGCCACGTGTCCTTCGTCAGCTCTCTCGCCAAAGGGCTACCGCTCGGTGGTTGACATCATCGCTCGGGCAACTCCCGGTCGGACCCCGACCGGGTTCTTCACAAGGAGCCCGACTTGTTACCTGCAAAGACAAAGAGAAAAGGACAAAGGCTTCTCGGTCGTGGTGAAGCTATAGCGGTCGGGATATTCCCTACCAGCTCTCAAACGTGCAAGATGATTCGCTTTCTCAATGTGAAGTATGTGCTGAAGCTAAACTAGCTAGAAAACCTTTCATTACTGCAAAGCATCATACAACTTGCGCTCTAGAGTTAATACACTCAGACATAGCTGATTTTAAAAATACTGAGACAAAAGGGGGAAAGCGATATTATATATCCTTTATAGATGATTTCACTCGGTTTTCAAAGATATATCTGCTTAGAACTAAAGGTGAGGCAGAACAAAAATTTATAAGCTTTAAAACTGAAGTAGAAAATCAGTTAGAGAAAAAAATAAAAAGACTTAGGTCTGACAGGGGTGGAGAGTATGAGTCTACCTCCCTCAAAACCTTTTGTGAAAAACATGGAATCATCCATGAGGTGACAACACCTTATACACCACAACAAAATGGTGTGGCTGAAAGGAAAAATAGAGCCCTAAAGGAAATGATAAATGCCTTTCTAATAAGCGCAGGTGCTTCTAACTCTTTGTGGGGGGAAGCTGCATTAACAGCTAACCACGTCCTCAACAGGATACCTCACAAAGGTTATGAAAAAACTCCATATGAGCTATGGAAAGGTTACGCACCCAATCTAAAATACTTCAAAGTGTGGGGGTGCCTGGCCAAGGTAGGTCTTCCTTACTTCAAGAAACCTAATCTTGGCCCTAAAACCTCAGATGCAATATTTGTGGGGTATGCAGAAAATAGCGCTGCATATAGATTTATGTACCTAGACGGCCACTCTATGTGCGAGGCACAAGAGGCCGAGTTCTTCGAACACATATTCCCACTAAAACGTGGATCAAATACCTATGAAAAAGTCTCGTCCTCACTACCTTCAACTTCTGAAACAGAAATTGAGTCAGAAGAACCTAGAAGGAGTAAGAGAAAAAGGACCGAGACAAGTTTTGGGCCTGATTTCATTACGTACATTTCTGAAGTAAATGACATTAATGAAATTTCTGATCAGTTTGTGTGTCAGTTAATTCTAGAGGAGGAACCAAAATCCTTTGAGGCAGCTATGCGCTCAGTCGATGCGGTCTTCTGGAAAGAAGCAATACAAAGTGAGCTAGATTCAATCAAATCTAATCACACTTGGGAGGTTGTAGACCTACCGAAGGGAGCCAAACCTATTGGCTGTAAATGGATCTTCAAAAGGAAGATGAGACCCGATGGGTCGATTGAAAGGTACAAAGCAAGACTTGTGGCTAAGGGATATAAACAGAAGTTTGGTGAGGACTACTTTTGCACCTATTCCCCTGTAACAAAAATAGCCACAATACGCATATTGTTTGCTCTAGCGTCTTCTCACAAGTGGCTGGTCCATCAAATGGATGTAAAAACAGCTTTCCTAAATGGAGACCTGGAAGAAGAAATTTACATGTCTCAACCTCCTGGATGCGCCAACCCCGGTCAAGAAGGGAAGGTATGTAGACTAGTAAAATCCCTATATGGGTTAAAGCAAGCTCCCAAACAGTGGTACGAGAAGTTCCACAAAACACTGTTAGATCTGGGATACACGGTAAACCGATCAGATGCTTGTTTGTACTCAAAAGAGATTGAGTCTAGCATTGTCTTGATTTGCATTTATGTAGATGATATGCTAATCTTTAGCTCAAATATAAATGCAATAAAAGAGACAAAGAGGTCTCTGTGTGACAAGTTTGATATGAAAGATATGGGCGAAGCCGATGTGATACTTGGAGTGAAAGTCATCAAAGAAAAAGATGGCTACAAGTTATCATAGGGTCACTACACAGAGAAACTGCTAAAGAAGTTTAACAGTTTTGAAGTGAACCCTGCGCAAACTCCATATGACCCAAGTGCAAAACTCTCGAAGAACACAGAGGCAAGTGTGTCTCAAGAGGAATATGCGAAAATAATTGGGAGTCTGATGTTCTTAATGAACTATACCAGACCGGATATTGCACTTGCGGTAAATCGACTAAGTCGATACACTCATAATCCCAGCGATACCCATTGGAATGCACTAAAGAGAGTGTTACGCTATCTAAAGGGAACGATGAACTGGGGATTGCACTTTTCTGGCTTCCCAGCGTCCCTAGAGGGGTATTGCGATGCGAATTGGGTGAATGATAGTGATGAGGTGAGCTCCACCAGCGGGTATGTTTTTACCATGGGAGGAGCAGCAGTATCGTGGAAATCCACGAAACAGGCGTGCATAGCCAGATCAACGATGGAAGCTGAATTTATAGCTCTTGATCTAGCAGGGCAAGAGGCTGAGTGGCTTAGAAACCTACTGGCAGACGTGCCATTGTGGGGGTCTTCTACGCCGTCAGTGCCCATACATTGTGACTCGCAAGCTGCGATATGCGTAGCCAAAAATAGTGCCTATAATGGTAAGAGGAGACACATAAGAGTCAGACATGAGTCTGTGAGACAACTAATTCTAAGTGGCGTACTTTCACTAGAATATGTGAAATCCGAAAAGAACATTGCAGATCCTCTCACGAAGGGGCTAAATAAAAGAGCCATCCTCGAAACATCGAGGGAGATGGGCTTAATAGCAATACAGTGAGCAAACTTCGAGGTTATATAAACCTGGAAGCTAAACACACCTATTCAGAGATAGGTCTCAGGTCAAAGAGTTGACCTTACGAGAAAGACCAAGTTATATATACTTACAGGGTGATTGCTGGTGTGTGAACTGAGTTCAAAACTAACTCTTCTTTCGATAGTTCAAGATCTAATTCACTATCAAAGGAGAAAGTTACTCAAGTCACTACGTGTCAGTTCAAGGTACAACCACTGACATTAAGATCAGCACTCATGCCAGAAATTTCGTCTTCTTCTTGCCACCTTGAATGTGTGGGGGATTGTTGGAGATTACATTCAAGATGGTGGTTTAAAGTGTGTAGAAGGAAGACACTCTTGTCCCACATTGGAAGGATAAGGGACTAATTCCCACCTTTTTAATACCAACCCATTTGGAAGGCTTAAACTATTGTAGAGAGAGAAGGAAAGGGAACCCCACACGCGCGCCGCCGCCCGCCCGGCCCGGTTCGGTTCGCACGCGCGTCGTGGTGTGGTGTGGTGATTATTTTAATTCCGAGTTTTTTCCTTTTTAGAGGTAGATTTCATGTAGAAATCTACCATCCACACATTAAGTTGTGGTGGAACAAGTCTTCCTATTCCACACATTAAGTTGTGGTGGAACAAGTCTTCCTATTCTTGTGGGCATTTTCACCACAACTCTTCCTAAAATCGTGGAGCATGAATGGCTGAGAGGGGAGGGGCGGGTATTTCCAATACTATAAATACCCCGCTTCTCCTCAGTTCTATTCACTCATCAAATTCTCTTCTTCTCTTCTGCAATCCTGAGCTTCGGTGTTAACTGGTCGAAAGCAACCGGTAAGACTACAACCGTCTCTGGGAAATTTTTGCTTTTAAGGTAGTGTCTTGCACACGTCATCGATCCCTTCAGGATTCATCCATTCTCAGCCTATAAAAAACAGTAGCCCCAGGTCTACGACATATTCTATCCCAATTTTCCCCAACATTACATTCATTTCAAATATGAAAAAGGTGCCTATTTGATATAGTATATTTTACGAGTTTTAAACAAAGTTGACTGTGGCTGATTTGGTGGATGATTTAACAGGTGCATGGAACTATAACTTGATCCAGCAGACTTTCAATGCACGGGATGCCACTTTGATTCACAATCTGCCTTTGAATGGAATTTATGAACTATGAAGACTTGTGGTTCTGGGAGGGGGATATTACAGGGAATTATTCGGTAAGAAGTGGATATAGACGGCTAGGGGGTGACTTAGCTCCTAGTTCGCCGGTTTGGAGTAGGTTATGGAATTTGAAAATCCCCCCTAATTGGAAGAACTTCATGTGGAGAGCTCTGTCTAACATTTTACCAACTCTTGATAATTTGGTGAAAAAGAGGGTGGATATTGTTAATGTATGCCCAGCTTGTGGTTTAGTAGAGGAAAATGTCATGCATGTTCTTTGTTCTTGTCCTTTTGCCTCTCTTATTTGGAATTGCTCCCAGTTGCCATTTCCCCAATTTAATGGTGAGAATTTTCTATTTTGGGCAGAATTGTGGTTAGGAGGAGTATCAGCGCTGGATTGTGAAAGTAAAGGGAAGATGTGTGGCTTGTTACATGGCATTTGGTCAGCCCGGAATTCGGCTGTATGGAGTAATGTCCTGCCAACCCCCACGGCATTGTGCAGCCGCCTTTTGTCTAGTTGGGCAGCTTGGAAGGTGCATGGGGCCGGAACAGGGGAATCACAGCGTGCTCCAGTGATGCATGCAAATAATGACCAGCGTGGTGTGGCTTGCTATGTGGATGCGGCGTTCCATGATTCTAATCGGCAGCCCACTTACGGCTTCATGGTTTTGGAGGAGGATGGAAGTTACATAGCTGCGGCGAATGGCCCCTTGGTATGTCCGTATGATCCCGTGATGGCGGAGGCGATGGCGGTGACTGAGGCGCTATCTTGGTTAAAGAATAATGGTTACTGGTAGTCAGACTATTCACGGATAGCGCGGTTTTGGTTTCTAGTTTTAGAGATGCGCGTTCCTTTCGTTCTTATTTTGGTTTTATTTTGAACTCTTGTATTCGTTTAATTTCTGCTATGCCTGGAACTGTAGTCTCGTTTGTTAGACGAAACGCTAATATTGCGGCACATACGCTAGCTAAGCATGCTAGTGTGCCGATTGGAAGTTCTGTTTGGAGGGATGGTCCTCCGTCTTTTTTGGAGCCGATTATGGCCAATACAATCTGAGTTGACATGGTTTTCAAAAAAAAAAAAACAAAGTTAATATTGCAACTAGAATATTTAACTTGATGGGCGGCGTATGTTAGTATAATAAAATATAGTATGTATATACTTCCCAAATATCTGAGTACTCCTTATTTAAGAAATGATTAATTTCAGAATTAATCCATTAATTATTGATATTTAAAAAAAATTTAACTATGATTTATATGTTATTTTTTTCATTATTGATTTTGTTTCAAATTTAATAATTAAAAAAAAAATGTTTGGAGCTAGGCATCAATTATGGAGGAACATGTAAAACTCAAACATGTCATGTATTAATTGCCTTTCAACTAAACTCGTGCGGGCATACTTGTTTGAATTTGTGTTCATTCTTTTTAATTTCTATAGTGTGCATGTTTTTTTTAATTAAACCAGTGGAGGGATTTCTTATAATGACATTATATCAACCATATATTATTATAAACTTGGCGAAATAACCAAAATATACTTTATAATTTATAGAAAAATAAAAGTATTCTTACATGGAAAATATATTGAACCTTGGAAACAAAATAGGAAGAGAGACAAGAGCCATTCATTAGAATCTTAATTTGTTTTTCTGTAGAGAAAATTTCAATTTTGTTCATATGACTATAGGGGCTTTGTTAATTTCAGCACATTGACTTTCAAAAGTGTCAATTTAGTACCTTGACTATACCATTTTTATCAATTTTGGTCACTCCGGTCAAATTGTCGGCCAAATTTCGCCGAAAAATTTTAACAATTAAAGTAATGAGGGTATTTTAGTCATTTCACATCTCTTCCTTTTTCTCCGACGAATCTATCAGCACCTTTAATTTTAAAAAACGCAATTGATTGGGCGTCTCGGCAATCTTTACAGCCTCCTGCGAAGTTCGACTCCGACGACAACTTGATCCATGACGCCACCAAGGAGAAGATGAAGAAACTCCTTTTATCCTTGCAAAAATTCACATTGCGCCATCTAACGAAGACTGAATAATTTGAATGAGTATATGAAACGAAATTCACCCCTCCCGGAGCGATGGATTTCGCAGGAAACGAAATAATTCAGCTCTCTTATTTCAAAGAATTTAAAATGGTGAAATTGATACGACAGAAGGTGTGCTGCTGCGACGGAAGGTGTGCTGCTGCTTAGACAAATGAGTCAAACCGGAAGGTGTGCTGCTGCGATGGATTCGCCGGAAAAAATGAATTCGCCGGAGAAGATCGAAGGAAGAGATGTGAAATGATTAAAATATCCTCATTATTTTAACTGTTAAAATTTTTTGGCGAAATTTGACCGGCAATTTGATCGGAGTGACCAAAATTGATAAAAATTGCATAGTCAAGATACTAAATTGACATTTTTTAAAGTCAGGTGTTGAAATTAACAAAGCACCTATAGTCATATGACCAAAATTAAAATTTTCTCTTTTTCTGTAGCATAGAGAATAAAGACAACAAAAAGAAATAATTAATTGAAAATTTGGTGGATAAAATAACATGAATTCAATTTTTAGTAAATAAAATTAAATTTTACTTTATCATTTCATATGCAATTTTGATAACTGTGTTTATGTCATGATTATACCCCATTTATAGACCTATTTTGAGTGAAATATACTTTGATTTTACGCAAAATGTGTCATAATTCATTTATTTATATCCTTAGGTGTATAAATTATTGTTGATTATTTGAACACAATCGTATGCTTTTTGGGGCATTTTGAGTGAATCTCGAGTCAATGGGAGTCAAGGTGAAGCTAAGGAGGTGGCTAAAATGCTTCAAAGAGAGCCAAAGAGTGGTACTTTCAATGAATTTGATCACAAAAACAAAACAAGGGAAAAGTGGAGCAAAAGACCAAAGAGTTGTAATTCCCGCTAAATATGGCGATACCTTAGTATTTTGATAATATCTCAGCCTAGGAATGTCCGATTCAAGTGATTCTTGCATCATTGGAAAGAATACTCGAAGAGCTACAACTTGTGCTGCAGCAGAAAACTCAACGCGTCGAAAAGTTCCAGTAATTTACGCGAAGAAAGAAGACAAAACTCGACGCGTCGAAAATGCGTCCTATGTGAATTTTGGGTTGTCCAGAAGTTCCTATTTTGCCCCTACTTGGCTCCCACTATAAAAGGTTCATCTTCCCTCAACTCTAGAACCAGAAGCTGCGTTTTTGGAGCAAGAGAAGAGAAGATAACACATCAAGAGCTACAAGTCACCTTGGAAGAAGAGGAAAAGCTAGAGAGATTTGGGAGAATTTCTTCACCTTTTCTTTTACTTTCTTTGTTGCTTGTGAAGTCCTTGATATTGTAATGAATGCTGATCTAGCCATGAGTGGCTAAGACTTCTTAGAGATTTTTGGGTTAAAGTGTTTATGAACCTATGTGCCTAGTTCTCATATTTTTTAATATATATTGATATTTAGGTTTATGACTTGTGTTGCAATTGTGTTCTATCTTGTTGATGCTAGTAATTAAGGATCCGAATTACTCGTTTCATAGCTATCTTTATGTTTTAATGGAGTTAGGACATAATTAAGAGCACCCACAATTGTACTTGACTATTGCACCTTGGGAGACGACATATTTGTTAAGGAGTTAACTCTTGACTATTGCACATTGGGAGATGGCATATTAATTAAGAATTTACCTTGAATGCTTGTTCTTGAACGGTTGAGTGTTCATATCATGGGAATGAATATTGGGAGTAATTCATTTCCTTGTTTGCATTCTCACACTTGTTTAAACCCAGATTTAATATTGATTTAATATTGCACTTTAGATTGACACCAGGTGATTAAACACTTGAATCTCAGGAATCTCATTCTTCCTATATTGCTTTCATCAACCTGCTACTTTGTTTTCTTTTAATTAGTTATACTTTTTTTTTGGTTAAAATTAGTTATACTTTTACAATTGATCAATCACTCTTTTCGATAAGATTAGCTTCTCGTGAATAGATTAGTAGCTAGTGCTTGATACTCCCGCTTCCCTGTGGATCGATAACCCGATACTACGAGTAATTATTTGTTTGAGAAATATATTGCAATCAAATTTGCACCACTAATTGATTTTATCTCTTGATTTCCTCTACATTTTTAGTTATTTCTTTTGCTTTGGTCCTATATATAAATAAAAAAAATATTATTAAAAAGAAATAAACTAGAAGAGAATAGAGTCATAAAAGACCACAAATTTGGATAACAAGATCTACCAATTTGACTTCTACCAAAGATAATTTCTGATTCATACATAGAGAATCTTCAACACACTATATGGCAAACACAAATTAAATCAAAAAACAAATAATCTAATGTACACTCTTGTGAGTAGTGGTAGCGATTTTTCTCACCGACTCAAATCAAGAATATCAATAGATAACTTCTCATTTTATGGTTACCAAGTCATCTGTCCAAAAAACTTGGTTGAGTTGCCCCATATAAACTAAACTTAAACTTAAATAAACATGGCATTTGTATTGATTGAATCTCTCTTTATTTTATTATTATTATTATTATTATTATTATTTTAACTTTTGTGTAACATCCGAGCAAAGTAAATCCAAATGCATTAATCAATATAATGGGTCATAAAAAAGTTAGTATATAAACTTTTGTCAAATACATAGTGGGTGTATAATAACAATAACAATAATTATAGGGAAAGGAAGACAAAAGAAGCATATATATATATATATATATATATATATATATATATATATATATATATATATGCATTCTATCTATATATCTAGCTGGTGACAAGTTACATCAAGAAATCTCAAGAACTTGATTCACCACTACTCTAACAACACAACAACATGTATACATAGGTGGGGGAGGGGGAGGAGATAGATAGAAGCTAAGGAAGTAAGATTAGATTGAGACAGCCATGAAAATAGAAGATAGAAGGATCCAAATGAAGGGTCAAAAAGGAAAGACCACCACATCATGCATGCATGCTAACGATAATGTTTTTCGCAATGTTTCAAGGCAGCAGCACAGCATGCAGGACCATTTATCCTTTCACCTTTATTTTGTGTTTGTGGGGATGATAGAGACAGACAAATGAAATACTACTCACTGCTTGCTTTAGTCACTGTTATCATTATTATAATTATTTAACACTATGTAATGGGTACGGTCCTCTTTATATATTTACATATGTTATAGAATTTAAATAAATACGACAAAGTCAATTTATATATTAATAGACGTGACAAGACTTTTCACGGCTGGAAATTATGAAATTTCCGACCACCTAAAAGTGATCTTAAATCAAGTCGAAAGCAAAAAGTGGTCAGAAATAGCAATAAAGGTTTTTCCGAATACCAAAAATGGTCGGAACAAGGCTTTTGACTTGATTTAAGATCACTTTCAGGTGGTCAGAAATTCTATAATTTCCAGCAGTGATGTACTCTTCTATATGTTATCTAATGTATCTCGCATAAACTACCCACTAAAATTTAGGTTAATATAAAAAACCAGAGTCAAATTAAACTTTCATGAGAGGCCGAAAACACTTCTATATGTTATCTAATGTATCTCGCATAAACTACCCACTAAAATTTAGGTTAATATAAAAAACCAGAGTCAAATTAAACTTTCATGAGAGGCCGGAAACACTTCTATATGTTATCTAATGTATCTCGCGTAAACTACCCACTAAAATTTAGGTTAATATAAAAAACCAGAGTCAAATTAAACTTACATGAGAGGCCGGAAACATGTTAAGACTCAAGGAAAATGCCCATATATGTAACATACGCCATGACTACTATAATCTAGTCAGGTATTAATCTCTTAAGTTATTTATGTTTTTTAAAAGATTGAAAAATTTTACTAGCAGAACTCTCTATTGTTGCTAAGCTTTCTAGGGGTATTATGATTTGCCAAATATGGAGATCCTAGTTAAAGTGATTGAGAAGCTTGGTATGAGGACTTTGATAACTACTTGCATGATTTCAAGTTTCATTCCAATGAGTGGTACTAGTTAATTAGAGTTTTTTATTTTATTTTATTAACTAATTAAGGATATTAATATATTTGAATTCTAATTTTTAAATAGAAATTAAATACACTTTTTACTTATTTTCTAGATATGAATATGTTTTGTCTCATTAATATTTTGCTATTTCTACATTATCCATGTTACGTTATAGTATCATACTACACCTCAATTGCCACACCATTCACTGACCCTATATCCTCTCATATCAACTATACTGTCACATTATTATACACTACTGGAAATTCTGAAATTTCCGACCACTTGAAAATGATCTTAAATTAAGTTAATACCAAAAAGTCCAAAAAGTGGTCGAAAATAGCAACAAAGGTTTTTCCGGATACCAAAAGTGATCGAAACAAGGCTTTCAACTTGATTTAAGATCACTTTCAGGTGGTCGGAAATTTCAGAATTTCCAGTAATGATATATTTTTATAACAGGAAAAATATTATTTTCTCCTGGTAATTATATCATAATGTTTACCTAACGTGATAATAAGCGGCGGAGCCACTATGGGAGTAGTGAGGGCAGCTGTCCCCCTCCCCCCACCCCACCACTATATATATATATGTGTGTGTGTGTGTGTGTGTGTGTGTGTGTGTGTGTGTGTGTGTGTGTGTGTGTGTGTGTGCATAGATAACATTAAATGTTATATAAAATATATATTTATGTTAAAATTATTAATAGTTTGAGTAGTTTAGCTAATTGAACTTCAAAGTTGATGTTAAAAGGCCTATGTCATAGGTTCAAATTTTACTAGGAACATTTTACCTTATCTTCTCTCATTTATTTTATCTCTTTCATTTCTTCACAAGATAAATTAAATATTTTCTAGTCTACTTTTTATGAATCATTCAATTAACAAATTAAATGCTCTGATCTTTTAATTTACTTTTTATGAATCATTTAATTAATGTAGTATACAAGTTTATATTATACTTTTCTTGAAAATAGTTTATATTATACTTTTCTTGAAAATAGTTTATATTATACTTTATTGTATTAGAATTAATTTAGAAGAATCGATATGATCTAAGTAAAAGAAATTAAAATTAAAAAGTATTTATGAATATAGTGTTATTCAAATTATTTTATCTAATTGATTATGTTTCATATTCTGTCATAAATATTTTCACATTTTCACACCACGCTCAAGTATATTTTTTGCTCCGACCCTAATTATCATGTAATATATCAAAAACATTCTATTGTAATTTATAATGTATTTTGTATTTTAACATTATTATGGTTGTTTGATATTTTGTCATTGACATTTCTAACGTCATTTAATTTTCGCCTCCACTCAAATGATTTTCTGGATCCGTCTAGGGTGATAATAAAATCTTTTATATGTATTAATTAGTTGTCAATAAATTAGCCAAGCCTATCACCACTAGTTAGAAAAGAGTTTACGTACTAAATAAAATAGCACATTAAGAAGTGAATGTTAGAAGTTAAATTTACTAATCCTTTATATAATAAAGCTATATGGTTTGGGAAATAATTAATGTTATATAATCATATAAAAAATGTGTTCAATTAGAGTTTAAATTTACACATACAAAATTTGAAATTTGCTTTCCAAATGTAATTATCTTAGTTATTATTTGTATTGTGAAAATTATAATATAGATGAAATACAATTAAGAATAAATCAATGTAATTATGTAAATTATCTCTATAAGTTTATTTGAATATGCACATAATTAGAGATTATATTAACCATACAAAATTATAATTTTAATTTTAATTTTAATTTTGTATTCTATAAAAATAATAAATACTTGACCAATGGAAGCTCAAAAATATTATTATATTAAATAATTTAAAATATTTTAGTTTTTTTTTATATTTTTTATTTATATTTATAATAGCATAATTTTTTTCCGTGCATCGCGCGGGTGAATTACTAGTTTAATTTAAACCAAGATTATATTATATTACTAATATCTTTTTAAAGTGAAATTCTTTACTTCTAAAATAACTCCTTTTTTTTTAATTAGTATTTGTGTTTGTTGGATCTCAGCGCTGCACTATGCTCACTTCTCATGCGTCACGGGATTGCCAGAAGTCAAGCACGCTTGACCAAAGAGTTCTATGGTACTTGGTTGTCATATCCTACTCAAAACTAATTGGTGATAAGTAGGTGGACATTAACCATTTAACCATATCTCTCCATGGTAAGCCACATCGTCACGTCTCAAATCGAGCAAGGGCTGAACTCGGCCTACCCGACCGACACCCAACAGTGTTGATAATAAAAATCTAAATCTAAAGACATTATATATGTCAATAAAAGTTATATCCCTGATTTTTATCCATTTTTTTAAAGCTAATAAAGATATATATATTCTACTTTAAATGTTGTACACTATATTTGTATTAGACAAAATTACGAATATTGTATTTGTATTAGGCATAATTACTCTTATACCGTTAAAACTCCATAACTATTTGATGAATTCTAACATTGATGACTAAATAAATAAAAATTATAATGCAACCTTATAATATAATTTTCATATATATATAGTGAAAGGTTCCCGTGCGGTTGAATGCTTCCCGTGCGGTTGTGCGGGTGATTAATGTGCGTGAGATTTGTACTCAATGTGCATGAGTGTTGTGTCTAATGTGTATGAGATTTGTACTTAATGTGCGTGAATGTGTAAAATGCAGCAGAAAATATGGATGTCAGTTTTTCCTTTCCCAATGGGGTCGATCACCCTTCGCCGAAGTTTCCGCGTGATTTACGGAGAATCGAATTGCAGGTTTTTCGTGAAAAAATGGCTCTTAATCTTGAAAGTTGCTGAGGACACTCAATATGCAAGAACGAACTCAACACAGCAGCATAACATACATAAGCAAGCTAAGGCAGCACTGCAAAGGTTTCCAAGAGAAGAGAGAAACAGAAAAAGTTTTTGAAGGAAGAAGTAACAAGAAGCTTGGGCTTTAATGTGCGTGAATTTTCTGTTCTGCTTCTTTCTGAGCTCGTAATTCTGAATTACTCACGCACATTAAGCACAAATCTCACGCATATTAAGCACAATACTCAGGCACATTAAGTACAAAACTCACACATATTAACATGACGCACATTAAGTACAAATCTCAGGCACATTGAGTACAAATCTCACGCACATTAAGTATAAACCTCACGCACATTAATCCACCGCACATCCGCACGGGAAGCAACAAATGCACCTGATCCCTTCCTTATATATATACTAGTTTTTTACGCGCATTGCGCGATTGAGATAATGCCCAATATTTTTTTAAATAAGTATTTTAAAGTATATCAATGCAAGATTATATTGGAATTGTTCATGCATAGATAATTGAATGTTAAATTTGTGTATTTAAATAGGCAATTCTAAGTTTACAAATGCAAGATAATATAGTCAAGATTGATTATAATTGTCAATAAAATAATTGTATAGGTATGGTTGAAACCAAATACAGGACATAAGGGAGAGAAAATAAAAATTAGGGCATAAATTATTAAATACTCCGTATATACTAATATTGAAGAGCTAACTACTGATTGCCAAACAAGGACATTGCGAGATAGTTTCCCACTTCAATTTGTTGTGTGATTTGAATACTCTTTTTGTCAATAAATCTCCCAAGTAGTTAATATGATTGACTTAATTATATTTTTTAATTTTTAATTTTTTTAAAACAATTACTTTTTTTAAAACAACTAAACAACTAATTTTTTCAAATATCTTTTTACCAACCATTGGTATAATTCACTGGTCAAATTCACTAATATAATCCGCTAACTGCTGATTGTCAAACAAGGATATTGCGAAGTTATTCTCACTTCAATTTGTTGTGTGATTTGAATAGTCTCTTTGTCAACAAATCCTTCAAGTAATTAATATGATTAGCTTTATTAATTATATTTTTTTAATTTTTTCATAGTATTAATAAAATACTTGGTAAATAAATATATAGCATTATTTTGTATTATAACTTTTATATTTAATTAAAAAAAATAGTGCACAAAAAAAGGTAATTGACAATGTGTGAATATAATCAATTGATGAATTTGAATGTAAAGAATTTTTACATTGGAGAAATATAAAGACAATATAACTAATAAAATTATTTCTCTTAATTAATTTATTAATAATGAATTATTTTTTTAATAAAGACATTGTAGGGACAATGTAGCAAATATAATCAATTGATGAATTTGAATATAAAGAATTTTTATATTGGAGAAAAATAAATACAATATAACTAATGAAATTATTTCTCTTATTTAATTTATTGATAATGAATAATTTTTTTTGAATAAAGACATTGTAGACACATAATTCTAAATTAAAAAATGATATGTATTATTTTTTGTTGTAGCTACTAAATTATTATTTTTAATTTAATTAATTTAATAAGAGTA